TAATAAAATGAGATATTGTAAGAAAAGAAATTTAAAAGTTTAAGAAACAGTTTTAAAAAGAAAAAATATGGGAAATCTTGATTGAACCGTTTGAAAACTACTTATTGAACCCTAGAAACTTTGGGAAAATTTTTAGAATAAAATTTGGTGAAAAATGTGGGGAATGGTATGGTAAGGTGTTTTTTTTTTAAAGTTCGCACCAAACCGGTTTGATCAAATTATCCCTTAAAGGGAAATCCTTAAACCTTTGGACTCTGACGACGGAATGGTTGAATGGTCGTTTAAGAAGGGGGAGGGGCTAAATGGTTGGACCCCGCTGCCCCCAACGACTTCTCGGGGGGGTTAACTACTTCCTTCTTTATTGACTGAGTTGCCTCTTTTGGAAGATGGTGATCTTTGATTATGCCTTTTAGGCTTAAACCATAAAATAGAAGAAGCGAATTGCAATCGCAAATTGTAATCAACTCCTATAAAATTATTTTTTAATTTATATTTTTAACTAGAGTTGATCAAAACGATACTGGTATCGGCCAACCCGAGACCGAGATTGACCTATACTCAAGAACCCGATATCGAGACCGATACCAACATTTTGAGCCGAGACCGATACCGAGAAACGATACTGACCGAGACTAACAGAAAATTTTATTTTACGCCAAAAAATACGTGTAAAAATAATTTATTCATTATTTTCATCATCCAAATCATCAGATAAATACTCTTCATCATCTGGATCCGATCTGGCTTGGCAATGGATACTAATTTTTGTGTCAGTATCCGAATAGGTATATCCGTGAGGTCGACATCCGTATCCAATTATATCCTTACAACTTTTGAGGCATATCCATCCGCGGATATCCGCAGATGGCCGAAGTGAAAATTTCGGTTAACCAAACCATTATTTCAGCGCCGCAGACGAAAATTTATTAAATTTTGGAAGGCCAAGTCATCAAATTTTTTCCTTTTTCAGCGCCGCAGGCGAAAATTTTTTGAATTTTAGAAGACCTTATGTGAAAAAAATTCACTTTCTCTGTTATGGACGGATATCCGAAAAAATTATGGACGAAAACTTGGACAATATTGAGAATTTTGTTTCTATGAGTCAGTATCGTTTCTCGCCGAGAAATGGGCCGAGAATATCGGTATCGGTTTCGAGACCGAGAATGAAAAAACCGAGACCGATATTGGAAAAAAGCCGAGACTCTCGGTATCGGTCTCGGTATCGGTCTCGTCTTGATCAACTCTATTTTTAACCCCCACATAGTTGTTGAGGATAAGCGGTCAGCCTAAGCGGGAGGTATACAAGATCGAAAATTTCCAAAACTCAAAACCAAGACTGGTCCATAATAAGACGCCTTCGCATATACTTATACTTTCTACTTTGGACTTGACCCAGAAAACTCAGCATCAACTCAGGAAAACTCCAAGGTCTTGAGTCAAGGCCCAGGACCAAGGGTCTTAGAGGTCTCTATGTCTATGTCACCCTAATAGGATCGTAAATGCTAGGCTACTAGTCCCTGATCTCCTTCATCTATACAATCATAACTTAGCCTCCGTCTACACTTATACTTGATACTTTGGATAAACTGAAGTATTTTGCTCTTTAACTAGCCAAAGCTTCATACCAAAATTCGTATTCATGCTTGCTATAAAGTAGAAAAAAAGTCGAAATTTCGAAGCATTGGGCACCTATCTGAAGCCCTTACACTAGTCACTTTTTAAATGTTAGCCAGCTAGATCATCCTCCTTTACACTAATAATTATTAAAAAACCCTACCAGGATTCCCCACAGATATCTTGACATATAACTGATTGCCGAGTGTCAATACCTCTGTTGTGGCTATTTTTCCGTTACAAAAAGAATTAAAAATTGGAATAAAAAATAATGGAAAAATTAAATAAAGCTTCATTTTTTTAAATTTAGGGGAAAATATTTTTTAAAATTAAATGAATTAAATTGTAGAGGCCAAAATTTATTTAAAGATAAATTTTAGAATTTTTTTTTCAATTTTTAAAATTTTATTTAAATTATAATTACACCTGTTTGCCATTGAATAAATTTTCTAAATTTTCTATAATATTTTATTTCATACCAGCAACTCAAGAATTTAAATTTTTGGCTATCCACGTGGGACGAGGGTTGTTTAGGCGCTGGGCTTTTAAAAAGGCTAGAGGCTAATTTCAATAACGACCCTCTTCAGAATTATACACATTCATGGGGCTGAACTAACTGTATGTTGTAATGTAGGGTATATTAGAGGGATATAGTATATTTTAGTGTTGGGTACACACCAAAGGTGGCGCAAGTGCCACAAAATACGAGACACGAGATTCACTAGATACGAAATTCTCAAAAAAATAAGAGAACGAGATAATACGAGATACGAGATCTCTCAAAAAATAAGAGATTTCAAGTGATACGCGACATGAGATACGATGAGAACGAGATACTATGAGTATGCTTTGAAAGATTAAATTGCAGTTCAGGGTTTGTGGGTGTTGAGAGATCGGTGGCCAACCAAATTTGGCCATAGAAACAATGCCCAACGGACTACATCTGGCTACCTAAGCTTTAATCAAGCCTCACTTTAAGACATCCCAAGGTACCTTATAATTAGGAGTAGCTTAGAAGGAGGGTAATGCTTAGGTGCTCTCCATCCTAAAATACAGTGTCTTGTCTTGGGGTTATCTTATAGCGAAGTCTAACTAAAAAATTTCATTGAAATGCCCAATTTTTCGTTGTTTATCAATTCTACCTTTAAAAATATTTTTAAAAAAGTATCAATTTGAGGAGCGCCAAAATTTTAAGGCGCCTAAATGACAGCAATCAATCCAACCATCCACGTTGTACATACACGTACATTAAAAAGCGAATTTTATTTTTGGAATATTTTCTTTTACAAGCTAAAATTAAATTTTATAGTTTGAATCAAAAATCACGTGATTTTGGAGTGAATCCCATGCTCTCTTCAGCCTTTTCAGGTTCTCTCCTGCCTGTTTATTAATAATGTAAATGGGATGGATGTGTATAAACTGATTTAGAAAAAAAAATTCGGCGAAAGACCAAAATCGGGTAAAGGCTGAAGATCATCTAGGTAAATACTAGGGACCGGGCCGAGACGGTTATCGAAATGGATAATTTTTCGAGATATAAATCTCTATTATCGTACGGCCTCTCAGTCCAATCTATACCAAATACATGTTATTACTACAGCTTACATCGACAGGGCTATATTCTTTTCATCCTTCTTAGTCCGAATCAGTGATGTAACGGGTTGAAAAAAGTGTCGGGTTTTGGGGCATTTAAGGGAATAAGAGGAAAATATCATGTTTCAGATATCCTAGGGTCGTGTTCCCTAAGGTAGGGCTTTCGAATATTCCTCGAGTTGGGTTCTGGGTTTCGAGTATCGGTTAACCAGTGACATCCCTGTTCGAACCGGATTATCTTCAGCCTCTTTTTGTTAATATATGTAAGATAAGCCTAAATATAAAATAATTTCAAAGCTTTTATGCAAATTTGATACAAATTTTAATTTCGAGAAAATATTCTAAATAAGATAAATTTGAGAATATTTTCGATATACAGTCAGACCTCACTTTATGATACACCCTTGGGACTAAAATCGTTTACCTTATAATGGGGTGTCTCTTAAATAGAGAGTATTGTGCTACCAGATCCTTAATCCATCCAATCCCCATCACTATCGTTACCTTATAATGAGCTGTGTCTTAAATAGAGAGTATTGTTCAGCCAGATCCCCAATCCCAATCCCCAACCAACCAGATCCCCAGCTAATCCCCATCCCCATCCCAATCAACCAAATTTTAAAAAGAATGTACCTTAAATAGAGGTGTGTCTAGTATTGGGGTTTTCTCATAGGGAGGTTTTCTGTTAAGATACTACCTTAACTAGGATAGACCTCGATTTGAGCAAGTTTTTAGAAGTTTAGGTGGCCGTTGGGTTGGAGAGTTATCTAAGCGATACCTTCTATTTAAGCAACACCCCATTATAAGATAACAATTTTTCAATCCAAAAGTGTAGCCTATAATGAGGTAGAACTGTATTTATCTACTCAAATATTATCAACAGCATCCTCAATCTCCTCAAGCTTATCCTCCAAATTATTTATTTTATCAGCAAATCCAATCGTGCCATCCTCAAAATTTAATGACACACAACGATTTAACATAAATAATTCCCCCATATTCCAATCATTATTATCAAATCCTTGCATTCCTTCATTAGGCAAAAATAAAAGACGACATGATTCTGTTATTGCCTTTTAAAATAATTTTTTTTAATTTGTAAAAAGAATTTAATATCACATAGAGGATAATAAGGCTCAAGTTTGGGGTGGCCCGGCCTTTCTAGGAGTCAAGGTTGGGGAGTCAAGGTTTACATAGAGGGTAATACTTACATAGAGGGTAATACTAAAGCTCAAGTTTAGAGTTGACCCGGCCTTTCTAGGAGTCAAGGTTCACAAGAGTCAAGGTTGGGGTTAGAAGGATAGAGGGATGGGTCAAATCTGACTAGAGGGATGGGCCCAACACTGACTTAATTCTTTATAGGCTTGTTTGAGCGTTTAGTTAAACATTAAAGACTAAGAGATAACCTTGAATAAAGTGGACTAGGTGATCTAAATCTGGATCTGACAAAAATCGCTCATATTTAAATACCCTCAATACTAGATACACCTATTTTTAAGATGCGTTTTTAATATGTTTGGACCCTGCCTCGTCTAGGCCGGTAAGTTCGGGGTTTGTCGGTGCAAATGCCCGGGCAGGGTTCGATAAAATCGTTCGGGGTCGGGTTACTAAACCGTATTTCCTCTAATATTTCTCTAATAGTGGGCTTCTGCCCACTCTATATTTCAATCCTCTCCAAGGGCCGTTCTTCTGGATACGACCGTTAAATTGAAGAAGATATGGTAGCTTATGTTGGTCACTAAGATTCAATTTATTAAAAGATTTCTTTGATTTCCTCCTATCACTTTATAGTACTATACCTCATCTCCATGTTCTTCTTCATATAATTCCATATATTGCTTTGGTTTTAACACAACATTTATTTTTTTGTTTTGTAAATCCCCAACATTTAAAACAACATTAGGCATAGTTTTTTCTTGTTGGCACTTTTCTAATGGAAGTAGATAAAAATCGCTAACATTTTTTGAAATATTTAGAACACCCAATCCAATTGCAATTTTGTCAAGCTGTTCTTTAGGTGCGTACATGTAAAGGGCACCATCGACAATTCGCAATTTTGGAATGTTTTGCGTTTTTCTGGTTTAAGAAAATAAAATTTTTTAATCAACTAGTGCTGTGTTTGATTACGGGAAGTGTATTAATTCCGTTAGTATGTGGCTTTAAAGCTGTCTTAGGTTTTGTCCTTCAAATTCAAACTCGTTTTTCATATTTGATATCTCCTCCCTCCCCATCGAAATCCTCTTAATCCCTCCATTCTCTTCATATTTTTAACTCAAACGATATACCATAATTTTTGGATTTATGGGCTAACTCTAACAGTCCTAACCAGACCTGGCATGGATAGGATATGGATACAGATAATACCAAAATAACTGCGGATATCCGCCTATATCCTCGTTTGTATCCGCCGTATATATCCGGATACGGATACCAAAATCAGTATCCGTGACCAGGTCTGGTCCTAACAGTCCCTAACAAAATTGCTAGGGAATGAAAGGGTCTGTGGACTCTGTCTTGGATATCTAAGTGAATCTAGGCCCTAATTCGAGGAGATGTCAAATGTATGAGAGGTTCCACAAGACTTTCAATATTAGCAACTCGGTCCATAGTTCTTTATCCCGATCAAATGACTATTGTTAGTTGAAGAAGAAAGCAATATTACTTTGCTTTAATTATTTCATTCCTAACATTAATTTTATCATTCCCAATTTTAATTAAATTCAAATCTGTTGCCCATTCATTTCCGGACAGTTTAGCATGTTTATAACTGCCAGCAGCACAATCCTTTTCATTTTCAGAACCTAAAGTAACCGAACCAATTCCAACAGAAACATCAGAATCGCCGGATATTACTCTTAAAAAATTTTTTTAATCGTTAAGAGATTAATTACAGAAGGGTACCCTCCCCTCTCGCTTTGGTATCCTCTCGAAAAAATATTTTAATTTGATTAATAACTGGGATGTACCCCAATTGATATACTCGTCTTGCCATGTGTGAGACTGTACCAAAGCAGCAAGAAGCCCTATCCTTGTTTATATTCTAGAACCGGATCGAGACGAGAGTTCGAACAAAAAACATGGTTTTCAGTCCCTGGGAGTATATCAGGGATGGGCCCTACCATATTTTAATGTCCGTAGGAAGCAAGAGCGCCCCCGTCCTTTGCTTCTATATTAGAGATTAGACTGAGATAAGAGTTTGAACAAAAATCAGGGTTTTCGGGGTATTGATCTCGATCATACGTCACTCCCACTCCTTTTTCTGTAGTATCTTTTATTAAGTGTACATATTGAAAATTTTTTTAAATTGATTAACAACTGGGAAGTGCCCCCGTTGATATATACCCCCAATGATATAAGAGCCCCCATTGCCCCAATAGATTCAAATTAATCAAGAACTTAAAACATACCCTCTCGTATACAATGTAATTATTGGTTTATTCACTTCATTAAAAATTAAATTTAGAAATGATTTTTCTGTCTTTAAAGGAGATAATCCAAAAACACCGTCAATTTCGTCCAACAATTCTAAATAATTTGGAAATCCAGTTATTCCTGAGACGAAAGTGATGTTTTGAATTTTGATATTTCCAATCTTTTTTAATTAAAATTTTAGTTAATTATTTTAATAAGACTTGGGCATGGGCCAGACATGGGCACTTGAGCATCCGGGTACATCCTCGGATATCCAGCTGATAGGGTGTACAAACAGATGTTGTCAGTCTTTGAGAAAGGGCTGGATCTTACAAAGGCTGGGCGCAATTACGAACTGCGTAAAATTTGGTGTTTTTTGACTTGCAGTTTGGGTCTACGGAAAAAATTTTTTTTAACTGCGCTCAGCCCTGGATCTGACCTCAAAGTTATATGGATATATCCGGATATGGATATCAAAATGCGTGTCCATGTCTAAATTTGATTTAAATACCTCAATATTATCTTGAAAAAGAATTCCATTTATATTTCCTTCTTTGACACCTTCTTTTAGTAATTTTGATGAACTTGATTTACTTAAATTGAAATTTTTAAATTCCGCGTATTTATCTCCAATTTTTCTTGCTCTTACCCCTCATTAGACTTTTGCCTCCCCGCCCCTCGGGTATCCCTCCTAAATTATTCTCCTAAATCTTCTAAGCATACAAAAAAATTTTCCTCTGAGGCACTAAAGAAATGTATCTTTGTACCTACGGTTAATATCCAGATACCCGCGAATATCCTACGGATACGGATGTTTGTCTCAAAATGGTACAGATATTGACCATCTTGAGAAAAAGTGCTACCCTCCCCCCTTCTCGTTTTTCTAAGCTTCCCTTCATCAATTTCTTGCCTCCCTTCCCTGTGGGACAACAATTCATAGCTCTCTTTGTAAGCCCCATTAATTTAAAAATTTCAAAAATTATTTATCTACTTTTTATTGTAACGCTGTTTTGTTCTGTCCTTTTCTTTAAATCCAAGATTGGCATTTTCATTTATTAACCAAAAATCAGTTGAATTAAGTTGAAAAAGAAGTTGGAATTCTTTTGCTAATTTTATTTAAAAAATTTTTTGAGTTAAAATAGAAAAACTTAATGCCTCATTATAAAATACACCTTTGGGGCTAAATGTGTCTTATAATGAGGTGTATCTTCTTTAGCCTTCTTCCTCCAAATGAACAGGAGGGAGAAGGCCAAAGAATGATGCCTCGAGAATTCTAAAAAAACGTACCTTAACTTGAGGTGTATCTAATACTGAGTGTATCCTATAGCGAAGTCTGCCTCAGTTAAACCTCACTATAAGATACCCTTCAATTCTAAGATATACCACTTTAAGAGATTTTTTAAAATCCGGTTAGATGCTGGGTGGCAGAGGTGGGTCGGAATTCCGATTTCCGAAAAAAATTTGATTTCCGATTTCCGAGTTAGGACTTTTGAGCCAGTTCCGATTTCCGCTCTTTCGATTTCCGACACCTCTGACTGTTCCGACCCACCTCTGCTAAGTGGGGAGCTTCATAAGATGAGATCCTCTATTTAAGATACACCTCCTTATATGTATTACAATTTCCATCTCCAAGGGGTATCTTATAATGAGGCCTCAAGATTAAAAATTTAATTATTAACCAGGATTTCCAACATAAACACTTCCCCAACGATTGTGTTCTATCGAGTTTAACTCCAATGAACCAACACTATTTTTCGTTAGAGTTCTTTTAGTAGTTATAGTTATACATGATTTAGTTGGTAAAATAACCATAAATAATTTGAATAAAAAAATAAAATAATAAAGCATTTTTAAAATTAATTAGGCTATTTTAAAATAAAAATTAAGAAAATTTTTTAGTAAGATCGCAATTTTATATGCCATGAATACTCACTTTAAGAGGAGTTTAGTAATTTTAATTGGAGTGAGGGGTAGAGCCTTAGAGCTGTCCGAGAGAGTCATGGTCTTGCGTATGAGTGTCTGGTTGACCCGATAAGGGAAGGAAGTTGTTCCAAGAATGGGAACTATAATAAGTTCAATGATTAAATTTTACACGGTAAGACGGCCCCACTCATAATTTGATCTAGAGATCGAACCGATACAATTTTTTCGATATTATTAAAAGATATAGACCGACCTCTTCGGCCGATCACTACTTTGAACATGTATATAAATTTAAATATCGGAGTCCAATCACTAGTCTTGACTCTTGGGGTCAAGTCTCATCCTCGAGCTCTGAAAAATATTCTGTCTGTGACAGCTCTAGTGAAGGAACTGCACTCGATACTCTCAATTTTATATTTTTAGATGATATTTTTGGAGCCTTAGAGGGTGTAACTAAATTCGGTATTCGAGTATTTATTAAATTGATTTTTTTTAAAAATTTTTTTTAATTATTAGTAAATTAAATTGATTATTTTTAAATAAAATAATTTTTAAAAATCTATTATTAAAGGATTTTTACTTTTTATTAAAGAAAATATTCTCCTCTAAATTGAGCAAAAGCTAAAATATTATTTGAATGAAAGCTAAACAAATATTTTAAAAAAATTTTATTTTTTTATTTAAATTTTCTAAAAATTATTTCCAAAATTTAAAAATTAAAGATTTAAAACTTGCAAAAAAATTTAAAAAATAATAAAAAAATAATTAAATTAATTAAAAAAAATAATAGAAAATAAACTAAAATCCCTCTCCTTGTCTATGTATACCAGGATTCTATGCCGTTCCCTACCCGACTTTAGGGGAATTTGGGAGTTTTTTTTTTTGAAAAAAATACTTGTCCTCCCCCGCGGCGAAAGCAACAAATTTTCCCGTTCCTGGCACTGCGCCTCCCCGAAGGCCCGATTCGGTCCTTCGGACCGTGCCGGGCTTCCAACACAACCGGGAAAGAGTCTCTAAAATAGTTTTAAATATTAGGAAAGAAGAGAGGTCACAAAAAAAATTTCATCTGGTAGAGCATCAGGGCTGACCGCAATTATTGAGTGCGTTTGCGGATTTTAAAATTAAAATTGCGGCTGCGGAAAATTATTTTCAATTGCGATCAGTTCTGTAGATTTTTAAAAATTTTCCAAATTAGCATAGTATTAAACCTTATTTTAGTTTAAAAAAAATAATTATTTTTTTATTAAATTTTTCTTTTTAGTTGGATAGAGATTTAAATATTTAAATACAAAAAATTAAAAATCATTTTTATTAAAGTGGTTTTTGATTTTTAAAAATAAAATTAGTCTCGTTTATCTTTTATTAAATAAAATTAATCTTTTAACTCATCGTTTGGCTTTAATTTCACAATTTAGTTGATATTGAGGGGAGAGAAGATGTCCATCATCTAATTAATTAAATTAATAATTGCACAGGATATTTACCGTATAACCTGTATTAATCGCCCTCCCTCAAATAATTACCCCATTTCTATTAATTAACCTCTCCAGCGATAGATTGTAATAATAATTACCCCCCTCAAATACCCTAAAACACGTTCGAATACCAAACCTTATATAATCATATAATTACCCTCCCTCAATTAATTACTCCCTCCAGCGGAAGGTCGAAACTATGATTACCCAGGGTAATTAACTCGGTCAAATTCTCAGTCTCGATAACCAAAATTTTTACCGAACATAGTCTATGTCCGATCTCTTGTAATATACTATAATAAGCAGTAGATCGGCCAATTTAAGTATAGAGGGTATATCATACCCCTCAATTACTTAACCGCCCCTCTTTCTCGATTGTTTACCCATTCCCTCTCCTAAATTAATTACTTCTCAGCTAGTTATCCCTTCCCCCTCTCTCAATCCTAAATTACCTCCTGCCTCTTATCAATTAATTATCTCCCTCCCTCTTAATTACAGTTTAACCCTAAAAGTATATCTTATACAATGTCTGACAGTATAATATTTAAAATAAATTATAACCATTTAAGGATTCTCTTCAGTAGGATCAGAAATATTAGTTGAATCCTCAACTTCACTTTGCTGATTACCCAAAGAATTATTCGAATTATTAATATTCACAGAATTATTTTCAAAATCTAATATCATTTCGCGATTATTTTCTGTTGAATTTTCCCCTTTTCTCTTTTTTCCGACACTAGTATCTTCACTAACCCGAACACGTTTTTTATTTAAATTTTGATTAGTTTTTGGGTTTACTACTAGAATAAATTATTAGATATTCAAAGGTTAAATAGGTATAAAATCTCGTTATATTGTACAACCTTGGGGATAGTAAGTGTAATTTATAATCAGGTACATATATCCTAAAGTGGAAATATCGCTTAGACAGATCGCTTATTCAGTGGAAAACTACATACATCAAAATAGTACCCTGCTGGTCTATACTATGGTGGGTCCAACATATAAAATGGTACGCCATCAGAGTCTGGGATAGTCCGTTAGTCGATTCTTTCCGTACCGTAACTAAGCTACTGACTAAACTTTACTAATTTAAATTAGGAGTTGATACCGGGCCGGGTTAAGGACCGGATTTCTGTGTCCGATAGCCAAAACCTTGTATTAAAAATAATTGTAATAACACAAAACGTTTTTCCTGTTTTCTGAACCAAAAGATCCGGTTAAAAGAAAAACAGCTTAAAAGGAATCCATGGATACATGCCCGAGAATTTGAAAAGTTCAAAATCTGATTAAAACATTTACCGACTGATTCTCTAACATTTGGATGAAATTTGCGAACATTACCACGATTCAGATAATTTGTGTTGTGATTTTGTTGGGCATGTAACATTGTATGGTGTCTCATTTGTCCATAATTATGGGGGTAATACCAGGGTTGTCGTTTCCAAACCACTAAAATGGGGCGCAGCCACTCAAAAATAGGGAAAAAATAGGGCGAAATTGGTAAAAAATATGGCAAAAAATAGGGCAATATTTTAAAAGCTTAAAATTTATTGAAATTTCAAATAAAAAGGCTTATTCCGCATGTTCTCCGCTAGTTTTAACTAAATTTCTAAAAAACAGTAAAGTTCAGATTAGAGACTAGCCTGGGAATGTCGTACGTGAATAGTACGAGATTTCGATAATCGATAATCAAGTTTATCTTCAAGAGCTTTGTAACCAATAGATTTCTTCCATATTTAGCAAAATTTTGAGAAGTTTGTACAGTTATCAAACCAGATTTTTTCCTTTTTTAGCGCCGAAGGCGAAAATTTTGAGAAATTAAAAAGAATAATGTGAGATATTTCTCTTTTTTCAGCGCCGCAGGCGAAAATTTTGGAAATTTTTATGTCCAGGAGTTAGATTTCTTTGTTTTTTTCGCAATTTATATACAAAATGCCTGAAAATTTTAAAAATATTACAAAATGTTAAAAATAGGGCAAAATATGGCAAATGTATAAAATAGGGAAAAAATAGGGCGAAAAGGCCAAAAATAGGGAAAATCCCCTATAAATAGGGTAAAACGACAACCCTGGGTAATACAAAGGTGATGCACTAGGTCCAAATCCTAAAATGTATATAGTCGGACCTCAATATGAGATAATCTTGGAGGTGAAAAGTGTGCTTATAATGAGGTCTATCTTGTATATTTGGTGGTTCCGTAGTTCCAGTTCCAAGCTAGTTCCAGGTGGATCTCTCTAATAAGGATTTAAAATAGCTCTCATTATATAATTAGAATTATGGCAGTATTATAGAGATCAAATGATATTTACAAGAGCCTCAAACTCTAGCTGAGTCTCGAAGTCTATAAAGACATAGGACAAGGGCCTCGAACCCTACCTATTACCGAGATTATTCAAACAACTCTCATCTACCTGAATTATTGTATCGTTGATTAAGTTGTTGACATAACCTTTCTGTTAACTTTCTTGCTAACTCTCTGTCAATTACATGTTGAATATTTTGATTAGGATTATTATAGTTTTGATTTCCTTCTTGAACTACTTGTTTTCCTTTTGGATATGTTAAATTACCTAATTAAATTTTTTAAAACGGTTTTTTTCAATTACTCGTTCCTGGATCGACTAGGGGTGGAAAAAACCAAAAGATATGATATATCCCCAAGAACTAGTTCCATATACCCTCAAGAACTAGTTCCAGAATTAGTTCCAAAGCTAGTTCCAGACATTTATTAGTTCCGTATTTCAAGTTCCAAGCTAGTTCCAGACATTAACTAGTTCCAGAATTAGTTCCAAAGCTAGTTCCAGACATGTAGTAGTTCCAGAACTAGTACCAAAGCTAGTTCCAGACATTTACTAGTTCCAGAACTAGTTCCAAAGCTAGTTCCAGACATTTACTAGTTCCAGAACTAGTTCCAAAGCTAGTTCCAGACATTTACTAGTTCCAGAACTAGTTCCAAAGCTAGTTCCAGACATGTACTAGTTCCAGAACTAGTACCAAAGCTAGTTCCAGACATTTACTAGTTCCAGAACTAGTTCCAAAGCTAGTTCCAGACATTTACTAGTTCCAGAACTAGTTCCAAAGCTAGTTCCAGAACTAGTTCCAAAGCTAGTTCCAAACATTTACTAGTTCCAGAACTAGTTCCAAAGCTAGTTCCAGACATTTACTAGTTCCACAACTAGTTCCAAAGCTAGTTCCAGACATTTACTAGTTCCAGAACTAGTTCCAAAGCTAGTTCCAGACATGTACTAGTTCCAGAACTAGTACCAAAGCTAGTTCCAGACATTTACTAGTTCCAGAACTAGTTCCAAAGCTAGTTCCAGACATTTACTAGTTCCAGAACTAGTTCCAAAGCTAGTTCCAGACATTTACTAGTTCCGTAGTTCTAGTTCCAAGCTAGTTCCAGACATTTACTAGTTCCAGAACTAGTTCCAAAGCTAGTTCCAGACATTTACTAGTTCCAGAACTAGTTCCAAAGCTAGTTCCAGACATTTACTAGTTCCAGAACTAGTTCCAAAGCTAGTTCCAGACATTTACTAGTTCCGTAGTTCTAGTTCCAAGCTAGTTCCAGACATTTACTAGTTCCGTAGTTCTAGTTCTGGAACTAGAACTAATTAGTTCCGGAACTGGAACTTTGACATCACTGGTGATATAGAGGTAATAATTAATAAGTAATTTACTTAATAAATGTTCATTTGGTTGATAATTATGATTATTAAAAGGATTTTTGCTTTTCTCCATTAAATATTTTTGTTGTAACATTGCTGCAAAGTAGGGGCCAATGTCCGGTATTTCTAATTTTTCAGTATCTTCAACAACTTGTTTTTGCTTATTTTTTTCATTTTTATTAACTAAATTAAATTATATTTAATTATCCAGTGGCCGTAGGTTCTAGAATCAGTAGGGTAACTGTATATAGATGGGAATATCCCGATATGTCCGACCTGATGTGTCCGTATCCGTCTAGAGTTGACCATCTCCTGTGAAGTGTCACATTCTTCTAGAAGGAAAATGTGTCAGTTTCCTTCAAACTCGCGACCTCCGCGCATTTATTGCTAGGCGCTTCGTTCACTATATACAACAGGAGCTCTACCACTGATCTACCGGTGCATCGACTAATACTTTCTTTTATAGTTTTAGATCGTTTAACCCCCGCTAAGCGTTTCAAATGCTCTAGGTGGATCATCCTTACACTAGCTTAGTTGATAAAATAAAAAGCACCGTTGGTGGCATTGTCTGGCAGATGATTTGGCGATTGATTTGAAGGGCTCGGAACTGAGGTCAAGTCAACCACCTCCACTCCTTTGCTATTTTCTTGGGCTGGTTCCGGTATGTGTTGAGCCTCTTTATGATTATCAATATCATCTCTAAACAATTCCTCGAGTATTTGCGCTTTGTGTGCCTTAAAAGCCAAATCAACATCACCTTCTGGTGTTGGTTCGACTTCTTTATAATTATCAATATTAGCCTGTTTTGAAGAACTTTCAGGGGAAATCCATCCAGTCCTTCCCTCCAACTCCAATATGTTCCTGTCTTCTGTGGGGTGTTCAGCCTCCTTATTATCATCACTATTTTCATTAAGCAATTCAGTAAACGTCTTTGCTTTTTGCACCTCAATTTTCTCCAAATTATTACCAATTTCATCGTTTAGCGACTTCAAGCTGCTCGCATCTGAAGTCTTTGGGGAATCATTTTTATCAACTTTGTTTTTATTCAACAATTCATTAAACGTCTGTACTATTTGTACCTCCTTTCTTCCCTCATAATTCCTCTCATTATTACCAACTTCAGTGTTCATCAACTTCAAACTGCTCGTCCCTGAAGACTTTGGGGAATCATTTTTATCGTTCTCCTCAATTAAATTTTTCTCCTTTGTTTTCCTTGATTTCCGTGCCTTTTTATTTGCCATTTTAGTTATAAATATTGAATATTTATTGAGAAGAATAGATTTAAATTCATCTTTTATTCCCTTATCGTTGTACAAAAATTCAAAAAATTTTTCTACTAAATTTAAATCCTTCCCACATTTATCGTCATTGGTATCGACAGGAGAACAATAACAAGAGAATATTATTAGTATAATAATTAATTTCAGCATTTTTAAATAATTTTATCTAAAATTTTAAAATAAAGTCTGATCTCACTTATACGATACCTCTTGCTTAACGTTAAAATAGTGGGATAGAAGTGGCATGCCACTTTTAGTGTCTGGCTGAGTAGCAAGAAGAAACCCTTCGCTTTTTAAGAAGGGCTCGTTATAAAAATCATCTTGAAAATTTATCCCCTTAAATTTAGGGCATAGATTAGTACCTAATAATGAGTGTATTTTATAAAAGTAAGCTGAGTCCTAAATAGGGGTACTAATAGAATGCCTGAGCATTTTGTTTTTCAATCACCTTCCAAAGGGCATTCTATTAGAGGGGGCATTCAAATGGAGGATGGAGAAGAGCATTTAAACGAAGGGGCATTTAATTAGAGGTAATTCGGCAAATAGTATTTTAATAATAAATCATTGGCATTTACACGACTATATATTTACTTTTTAATAGTGTAAAAGTGCAAATGAATTAATACTTCCGTTAAATTTTAAAGGGCATTATTTTTTATTTTTATGGACATACATAAATTTCAAAATAAAAAATTTTGTGTGTAATTTTTCCCAACCTCTTAATTTTATTTCCTCATTTCAAGCGGAAGTTAATCTAAATATCCTGTGAGAAATATTAAAAAATATTTAGTGGGAAAATTTTTATTTATGAAATAGTATATTTGACCTCTAATGTATTTTTCTAAATTATTTTCCAGGTAAGGTTTTCGGATCCGGATATCCGGATCCGAAAAAAGGCCGGATCTGATACCGGATCCGGAAATCCGAAAATTTCGGTTCGGATCCGGATATCCAAAATTTTCGGTTCGGATATCGGATCCGAGTATCCGAAATTTTTGGATATCGTATCCGAAAAAAGGCCGGATATCCGAAGATTTCCAACTATCCGACAACCTTATTTTCAAGAACCCCTCATTTCCAAATTTGAAAAACATTTTCTTCTATTGGAAACGGAACCGAGATAAATCAAAATTATTAATCAGTAAATTCTAATAGAAGAAATGAAGATTATCGAGCTGTCAATTGTCAAATTCTGCTCAATTCTGATCAATTAAGAAAGGTATCTGATGATTTGGAGGGAGTGAGAGATTGTGTGGACCCTGAGTCATATATTAAGAGAGTTAGCTGAGATATTTATGGATTAATAAGGATTTAGGGGAGGTATTGAATACAAATCCTCTAGTGTCCTTAGGATCTTATATCCCTAGTCACTCTAACAAATAAGTCTCCTTATTTAGAGAGACTAAAAAAACTCCCGTTATCACCTTGAACCCATCAAAGCATATGTATTAATCTATAAATGATAAAAACCGGACCTTTACACATTGATACTGACAAACACGGAGCAGTTCAACTGAGTCCGCACGATTGAGTCCCCACGATTGAGTCCGCACGATTGAGTCCCCACGATTGAGTCCCGGCACGATTGAGTCCCCACGATTGAGTCCGCACGATTGAGTCCCCGTTGTATATACCTCAATTGAGTCCCCGTGGATTTGATTTGAGAAAAAAGATAGTAATTAAAGACAAAATTGTACTATTATAATTAGTGACCGGCAAAATCATTTTTCCGGGCCCGGAAACCGGATTTTGGATTTCACACTCATGCCGGACCGGATCCGGCCGGATTTTTCCGGATTAATCCGGTACGGTTTTAATCCGGTAAAAATAATTTCCGGAGTCCGGCAGAATTTACCCGGATTCCGGACCGGATCCAGGTTTTTTTCCGGATTTTCCAAAAAAATTTTTTAAATTAATTTTTGTATTAAAATGTTGTAAGAGGTGTGTGGTTTATGTGTTAAGATGTTGTTAGTGGGGATATTTAAAGATTTTGGAGGATATGAAGGATGCTTGTTGGATTTGTGGATATTATAAGGGATAACGAGGTATTTTGGTAGATAAAATGGATAACAGGTGACCTTATTACTCCAACTAACCTTATATCTCCTTAATCCTCCGATATCCTATCGACTTAATCCGCCTATAGCTTTCCAAATATAAAGATATCCCCCTTAAACCCCGATATCTCTCGATTGATATCCGATTAATCACAAGGGATGAGAGGCGGCCGCAGTCAAAAATTTTGAAAATTATTGAAGTCCAAGTCTCTAGATTTTTTCCATTTTCAGCGCCGCAGGCAAAAACTTTGAGAATTTTGGGAGGACAAGAATCGCGAAAAAACCCGGATTTGGGATCCGGACTCTATTATTTCAAACAGGATGGCGGATATTTTAACTGAACGTAGAAAGCCTAAACTTGTTCATGATGGATATTTATTTGTTTTTCATAAAATGAACAAAGATGAAGACATCAAGTTTTGGAGATGTGAGGCCTTCAACAAAAAAGATGTCAGATGTAAGGCTCGCCTACATAGCGACCTCAACAAATCTGTTTTGCGTGAATTAAATTATCACGTTTGCAGCGGCAACCCTGCCAATGTTCAAAAGCAAGTTGTTGTGACAGAGATTAAAAGAAGGGCAATTGAAACTCGTCAAAGGAATTTGGCAGCAGTTCAACCCACGTGTTTTCTCAACAGACTATGAAGCAGCAATTATTGGAGCTATTCAGGAGGTTTTTCCTCGTTCAGATCTGGCTGGTTGTCTGTTCCACCTGGTTAGGAATCTTAAAAAAGCAATTTGCGATGCTAATTTAATGCAGGTTGTTTTTTATTCCCATTTTCATTTGTACTCCTATTTTTCAGCGTTATAAAAATGATCCTTTGTTTGCCGCTGATGCCAAATTAATTACTTCAATAGCTTTCCTGCCTATTTGTGATATATTTTCAAATCCATGAATATTTATTTGAAAATTTTGTTTTAGAATTAGTGATGTGTTTATTAGATTGAATAAAGATTTTTGATAATCTTGATATTAACATTAATCCCCCCAAATCCCCAGATATCCCTCTTAATCATTTTTAATATAATTAAATCTACGGGGACTCAATTGAGGTATATACAACGGGGACTCAATCGTGCGGACTCAATCGTGGGGACTCAATCGTGCCGGGACTCAATCGTGGGGACTCAATCGTGCGGACTCAATCGTGGGGACTCAATCGTGCGGACTCAATTGAGGTGTACCGTGACAAACACAGATGAACTTCAAAATTTTACAGTACTACAAATTGGCTCTAAAATTATTCATAAAATTAATAAAAAGTGGACAAAAGTCCCTAAAATAGTTTTGAACATTATGTGAGCAAGAAAAAAAGCTCTGTCAACAGAGCACATGTCTAAAACGCTTTTTAAAATTCAGAAAAGTTATGCAAATTAGTCTAATAATAAATTAAAAATAAATATTTTTTATTAAATTTTTAAGTTGGATAAAGATTTAAATATTTAAATACAAAAAGTTAAAAATCATTTTTATTAAATTGGTTTTTGATTTTAAAAAATAAACATTTATTAAATAAAATTAATCCTTTGAATCATCGTTTGGCTTTAATTTCACAGTTGAGGGTAAGGAAGATGGCCATTATCTAATTAATTAAATTAATAATTGTACAAGTTAATTATATATAGTAGAGACCAAACTTGATCGAACTTGCTGTCTCGATAAGCAAGATTTTTGACCGAGAAATACTCTCGATCCAAACTAATTAAGTAAATGGAGCTATTTTTCTCATAATTGAAATGTGGCGTAATGGAGAGATACTTGCCTATTGGAAAGATACCTGCCTAAAATAATCCCCCTCTCCAAATCCCCACCTCCAATCGACTTATTACAGGCTCCCGATTAATTAGCTAAACTTCCTCCTCCTCGACCATTTACCCTCTACTTGCCTCAACTCCCCCCCCCCTCTCCTGATCCTCGGTTATAAACCCCCCCCCTCCTCTTTTGATTAACTACGCCCTCTTAATCGAGGTTGAAACAATAATACCCATGGTAATATTTGAGGAAACACGGTACCTTAATTTTAACCCCAAAGTGTTTCTTATAGTGAGTAGGTTTGGGGCCCGTTCCGGTATGTAAGATCGAGTCTTTTTTTGGCCCAAAAAAGATTCGGTCGGTCCGGTCTTATAAAAATGAGGCCCAAAAATGACTCGATTGTCGGCCCGACTCGAAAACCTGAGGGCTAACTTTATAGCAATTAATAAATAACCATTTAATTATTCCAATCATTATGTTCAAAAATATTAGGAAAATCTTCAACTGCATTGTGTTGATTATCCAAAGAATTATTTGAATTATTATTATTCTCAGAATTATTTTCGAAATCTAATGGTATTTCATTATTATTTTCTGTTGAATTTTTACGAGTTTTTCTCTTTTTTCCGTTACTAGTACCTTCTTGATTATTTTTTGTTGGATTTTTACGAGTTTTTCTCGTTTTTCCGTTATTAGTATCCTCACTGAACTGAACACGTTTTTTATTTAAATTTTGATTAGCTGTTGGTTGTATCACTAAAATAAGTAAATTAAACGATTAAAGGTTCATTACATCCTTGGGGTTAAACTTGAACTGATCCTTGGGGGTCAGTTCAAAGTCTAGATTTAAATTAAAACATTTACCAACTGGTTCACTAACAACTGGAGGACGAATATTGTGAATACCAACTGGTTCACTAGCAATTGTAGGATGAATATTGTGAATATTATTATTTAAATAATTTGTGTTGTAATTTTGTTGGGTATGTAACATTGTATGTTGTCTCATTTGTCCATAATTATGAGGGTAAAACAACGTCGATGCTGTAGGTCCAAATCCTAAAATGGATAGTCGCTAGAAAAACATACCGTTTAATGAGGTGTATGTTATATAGAGGTTATACTTAACAACTCCCCTCCCATGGCCAACCATAATTTAAGAACTTATCTTAATTTGAGGTGTATCTAATATCGAAAGTATCTTATACAGACGTACCTCATTATAAGGTACTATATTTTAGTTCCCATGGGTCTCTTGTATAGATGGTATCTGCTATACAGCGTCTCTAAAACATAACTTAAATTGAGGTTATCGTTTAGGAGGTTCGACCGTTCTACATACTGATTTTTATAGACAAAGTCGATCTCGATATAGAGACCCCGCTTCAACGAGTCTCTACAAATAGTATGACCTTTATTAGGTCATTTCGAGTTCGGTATGTCTAGATTCGTTTAGATATAAGTTAAATTTACCCAAATTATTGGGACGGATTAATCTTTCCATATTAGAGTTTTGAGAATTTTCTGGTTGCGCATTGCGTGACAAATCAACACCATATTTTATCTAATATATAAAAAATAATACATTGCTCTTATTATAAGGAGAGGTGTTACCAACCCCCCCCCCCCCCTCCCCCCAATTACAATTTTATCACTAAAAAACTTTTCAACTTATCGACCAAACAGAGTTCCAGGATCCGATCATTATTTATCCCTTGGACCCAAACTGAAGAACTAAACATTTTTCTGTTTGGTTCTCATACCCGGTTCTTCTGAAAATTCTTAAATTTTTGTCTCACACGCTCACCGCTCAACCGATTGAACTACCGGTACCCTGCTTCCACCCTCACATTTAATAGATCCTTTGAACCTTCCTTATTTCTTTCAATTAGCTAATTATCTCTTAATTTACCTTATATTCTAATAAAAGTTTTTGAAGTTGCAGAGATCTATGTAGGTGATTTAACCCGAAAGTATTTGTTGAATTGTTTCCTAAAATAAGTTTATTATAAAATGTATTGAATAATTAGGTGCCAATTTATCTCATTAGCCTTCATTTTATGTACCTTCCTTCCTTTTATGATAACCTTTAGCAAGTTTAGTTGCTCCATAGTTTAAGTTTAGACTCCCCTAGGTCGTTGGAATTTCGATTTCCGACTATTTTGTTCCTAGTTCCGAAAATATACAATAAGTTCCGATTTCCGTCGTTTTTTTGTTCCGAGTTCCGAAAATATAAGATGAGTTCCGATTTCCGGCAATTTCGCCTCTGTCATTTCCGACTGCCCTGTCCCTTAAAAAGCATTTTTAATTGAGGAATCTTGGAGTTAATTTTGGAGTTTAGATGCCTCTTGTTTTAGTTTTAGTTATTCAGTGAGGTCTGGGGCAAGCTCGGATATACATATACTACAAGCCCTGCTTCAATATTCACCTGAATTATTAATTTGCTGATTAATTTGTTGACATAACGTATCTAATCCGGGATTATATCCTTGTTGTATATTTTGATTAAAATTAATATAGTTTTGATTTCTTTCTTGAACTACTTGTTTTCCTCTTCGATCTGTTAATTTAATTAAATTATTTTCTTAAAAATAATTTTTTCAATTATTCTACTACCTCATTCACCGGACCGACCGAGTCTTTTTCGGACCGAAATTTAATGCCCGACTCGACCGGGCCGGGCCGGCAACCCTAATCCTGATAAATCTACTATCCGGGGCTTTTATCCGAACTAAAAATTATCGGAACTCCTATCTTTTCGTGATCCAAATATCCGGATCCTCCAACCTAGCATTAAAAGGAAGGAAGGGAAGGAAGTAGGGGAGATCTAACTATTACTTGGATATTTCCTTTTCAGAAGTTCGATAATTTTAATATTCACCTGAATTATTAATTAGTTGATTATATTGTTGACATAACCCTTCTGTATCTAATTGAAGATTATATCCATGTTGTGCATTTTGATTAAAGTTAATATAGTTTGGATTTTCTTCTTGAACTACTTGTTTTCCTTTTGGATCTGTTACATTAATTAAATTGTTTTCTTAAAAATAATTTTGGTACTTGCTCTTAAATAATCGAGATATAGTAATGACACCTCTAGGGACCGAACGATAGATGGTTGTACAAACGTGTCTTATGTTCGTTCATATATTAACGCCCGGGACCTAGCCAATTTCCAGTCTTCAGATCCCCATTTTTGGATAAAAAACCGGGATGAAATGAGCAATGGGACTTAGTTGATAAAACAAATATAAAATTACCGTTATTTGGCACTTGCTGTGAAGAGCTCGGATTGAAGCTCAGAAGATTAGGCGCTTCATCGCCATTATTTGTGTTCCTGGCGAGCAGATAATTCGGCATTTGCTGTGAGGGGCTCGGATGATTAGGCGCATCATTTGAAGGGCTTGGATTGGAAATCAAGTCAACTTCCACCTGGTGGTTGTTGACTTCTTGGAGGTGTTCTGGTATGTGTCCTTCTTCTTTATGTTCTGTCTCCGGGACTGTCTCAATATCCCTAAACAATTCCTCGATTATTTGCGCTGTGCGTGCCTCACAAGCCAAGTCAACATCTTCTAATCCTTTGCCAACTTCCGGGGTTGATTCGACTTCTTTATCAGCATCTTTATAATTATCAATATTATCATTAGCATGTCTTGAAGCATGTCTTGAAGAACTTTCAGGGGAAATCCATCCCTCCATGTCCAATTTGTTCCTGTCTTCTGTGAGGTGTTCAGCCTCATTATCATCACTATTTTCATTAAGCAATTCAGTAAACGTCTGTACTTTTTGTGGTTCCATTTGTTCCTTGTTTCTTCCCTCTCCAGTCCATCCCTCGGAGTCGGATTTGTTCCTGTCTCCTGGGAGGGAGGTCTTCTCGGAGGTCTCTTTATTGTTATCATCCTTATTTTCATTCAACAACTCATTAAACGTCTGTACTATTTGTACCTCCTTTCTTCCCTCATTTATCCCCTTATTATTACTAACTTCAGTGTTCAGTGACTTCAAACTGTTCGCATCTGAAGACTTTGGGGAATCATTTTTAACGTTCTCCTCAATTAAATTTTCCTTTGTTTCCTTTGTTTTTCTTGCTTTCCTTGCCTTTTTATTTGCTATTTTAGTTAAAAATGTTGAATATTTTTTAAGCAGTATATCTTTAAATTCTTTATTAATTCCCTCATCGTTATACAAAAATTTAAAAAATTTTTGTACTAATTTTAAATCCTTCCCGCATTTATCGTCCGTCGACTCGACAAATAAGAATAAATTTAATTTTAATATCAAGAGAATAAAAATAAAATTGGTGATTGATTTGGACATTTTTAGATATTTTTTTATCTAAGAATATTAAAATTAATTATCCCGTTCTTGAGAACTTGACCTCGCCCTGAAAAGTCACACCCTAATTTTAAGTATACCAGGAATATCTTCTATTTTCAGCCCCTCCCATACCCTTAGGCTGCGCCCTTGGCTACGCCCTCGCAAAACGAAATGCACTCACCCCTGGTTCAGATCAAATGAAGTCTCTTATATTGGGGGTACCTTAAATTGGGTGGTTAAACGGAGGTGTATCTTATATTGAGAGTCTAAAGCATATACCCTAAAATCTATATTAGAATGCCCCCTCCAATAGAATGCCCCTTTGGAATGTGATTGAAAAATAGAATGCCCGGGCATTCTATAAGAGAGTTTAATGTATATATATCTAATTCTTAAGGCTGTGCATTAGTCGGCGTGGTGTAATCTTGTATTAGCTGAAGGAGAGAGAGCGGCTTTACTAGAGCATATTATAATGAGGTGTAAATAGCTTAGATAGAGGTTAAAATAATGAGTTAAATCCTAAATAGAGGCTTATAATGAAGTATTTCTTAAATAGAAGGTATGCTTAATTATCTCGAATTAAAATTGAAGTGTGCCTTATATTGAGGTGTATATTAGATAGAGGGTTAATGAGGTGTATCAGGCAAGGATGGATCGAGTTATCTTACATAGATTGTATCGCTTGGAGTCCCCCACCCGGCAACCATTTAAGGAATATTCCTAAGGGGGGGGGTTACCTTATATTGAGTGTCTCTTAATGTGAGGTCCGGATGTAAATTAAATTAGATTTTATTTAATAATAAAATAGTCGGCATTATATAGACGCCTTTATATTTTTAATATTAATAAAAGTGCAAGCAAGCTTCCGTTAAATGTGAAAGGGCATTTATTAAATTTTAATGCATTATTTTTTATAGACATAGATAAATTTCAAAATTTAAAAAATTGTGTAATTTCCTTCCGTAACTCTTAATTTATTTCCTATTTCAATCGGAAATTAATCGGAAATGATGTATCCGGTAATTAATATTAAAATGTGTTTACGACGAAATTCATAATTGATGAAATATCTCCCACAAAATATCTCCCTTTCAATGACTTGATATTAAGGTTGTCGGATCCGGATCCGAAAAAAGGCCAGAAAAAACTTGATATCCCTCTTAATCCTCATAATCCCTCGATATCTTCCATAAATCATTTTAATATCAGTCATGATACCACAAAGTCCCCTTGATCCATCCAAACTCTTGAACCATCCAAGTTGACTGATATCCCTCCCCCGGCTTCCCTGATGCCTCTTAATCCCTTCAACTCTTTTGATACACTTCTTAAAGGATATTGTAAAAGTTTGAGTTTAGCCACCGGGCAGAGTTCGAACCTGAGAACTCCTCGTGGTTTCTTCTATATTTAGGTGCTCTACTACTGAGCTACATGATCTCTTTTCTCCTTATATGTAGGTCGTTTAATGCCGCTAGTTGAATCACCTTACAATAGAAAGAAATAGGATTAAAGGGGTATCAGGGGATTTGAAGGGATGTCAGAGGATTTCTTCGAGAGAAAAATTTGAGACTGATCAAATATCCAATACATTTATTTCAAATCATTTGAAATCAGATTTTTTTCAATAATTCGGATTTGAAATTTGATTGACTTTGAATTTTGTTTTGTAAATTTCCCGATTTCCTCAATTTGTAATCATTTGTAGGAATCATTTTTCATATTCTTAAGAACTTCTTTTCCAGATTTGAGAAGCAATTTCTTCGATTGGTGAAACTAAAAATTTAAATTACACTATAAGATATACCTACAATACGTTTGATACCGGGGCTTTTTCTTCCCTGATCCGGGCCTTAACGGATCATTGTCTCTGGTCATCTGACCTAGAACCACAGGTTTTCTCATGATACCCTCTTACTATTTGTTTGGTTTTTTCATGGGGGCAATCCTCTGGGTTGAGTAATAAGTAGAGTTGTTGCCCGTTCCCGAACGATTTGAGCCCGTTCCCGAACGTTTTTTCACGTTTGTCCCGAAACCAACACCATCACAGAACGAATTGAAAACCCCTCGTACCCCGACAACCCCAATCCGATTTTCCGGATTCAAACCTAATAATAAGCAAGTCCCCCAGCAGAACTTTGAAAGTGACGTTCGATTGGAAGGAATCCTCTGGATTGGGCAATAAGTAGAGTTGTACCCCGGTCCTGAACTTGAACCCGTTCCCGAACAATTTTTTCACATTTGTCCCAACACGAACACTCCTGACTACCCTAATCCGAGTTGCGGCATACAAGCCTAATAATAAGCAAGTTACCCTGCTAAAATTTAAAAGTGAGGTTTGATTTACCTTCAAAAAATATAATTTTTGCCAGCCCATTAATTCCTCTTTTTAATAGATTATTATTTTGGTGTTTATCTTGATTATTTAAAAAATTAATTTTTTTATTTAAATTAATTTTAGGGTTTGAAGAATTAACTAGTGGCAATATTGTAGTAGTTAAATTATTTGTTGCATTATTATTAATTTTTATTTTTGCCTTAAGGTTGTCGGCAAATTTTAAACGAAAATCACTTAGTCTCAATAATGGCATTTTCTTTTTACACTGAAAATTTTTTGAAATTTTTAATAAGAGAAAGGTAGGGTTGGCGGATTTGGCTGTCTAGATTTGAGATAGTCCGGATCTGGCGCCCGCTCCTAGGATTTCCAGTATCATCTGTCAACCTTGAGAGTGTAATTACACATGGTTGTTAAACTTGTCATTTAATAAATCTATCGTTTTTTAGCAATACCAGATAAAAATTTATAGGGTAAGGCCTAGACAAATTTAAACCCTTGTAAGTCTAGAATTCTCGAATTCTAGACATCAACGCTAGCGGGACACTCTCGCTAAAATTAATTATTTAAGCGAGGGTAATTATTCGAGGGTATACTGTAATGGGAGATACACCTCAACCTACCGAGTGGCCAACCTACCGCCGAGCTATAACTTCGTTCAGATTTGTCGAATCCGAGACATCCTGGTATGGTTCGATGCGTCTCGACGAGCTAAATCGAACAATAGCAGGGCGTCCCGTATTCGACAATTCTGAACGAAGGTATAGCTCGGCGGTAGGTTGGCCTCGCGGTAGGTTGGCCTCTCCCGCTATTTATTTTATTAATTAAACATAATGGGAGATGGGATAGAACTTTTGTAGAACAGAACCTAAATTTTCGGTATCTAAAGGATTTTCTAAGTTTCTTTAATAAGATTTTAAGATGTTCCAAGAACCGTCAACGTCTCTTCCACAATTATTACCTTTGTTTTCACAAAAATGGTAGTTTTTAATTTCTCTTCCTTCTTAACTAAACCCTTTTTTGAAAAATTATTAATAAAATTTTTATTTTCTTCATTTTCTTCACAAATAATTGGAAATTTTTCGTTAAAAATTGTTTTTTGTATTTTTATGTAAAATTTAGTTGTTAGGATTCCACAAATTTTATTCATTTTATTAATTAAACAAAGATTTTGTTCTGAAATCCAGGTTCTGATAAAGCAAGTAGATTTGGCATTTTCTTTGTTTGTTTTGAGTTTATTACAATTTGAACTGTTAAAAAAAATTTTTTTAGTTGATATTTGGGTGATTTTGAATTTTATTCCCCTTTCCCTCTTTGTTTAGGTCTTCATTTCACTCTATATACCGTATTTCTTTGAATAGATTCCTGGGGAACTATTATTTTGGGAGCAGGTACGCATGCCCAATGTACCGCAGAACTGTAAGTTTTCAAAATTTCCGAATCCGGGACGCCCTGGTATAGTTCGACTCAACTCGTTGAGATGATCGCACCATGCCAAGATGTCCCGAATTCGATAACTTCAAACGAAGTTGTAGCTCTGCAGTATCTTGGACTAGCAGGGGTACCTTGGGTGTACCCTATTGTTTTAAGCCTACCGATAGAAGGGATAGTTAATCCAGGCAGGGCAATTGATATATAGGTTACCTAATTTGCCCTGGACCAGGAACCGCGTTCGCTTAAGAAAATTACGGTTAACGGGAACCATTGAAACACACAAGGTTGACGAACCTCTGAAAATGCCCGCTGACTGGAACAACTCCACTAATAGGGATTGTTGGCAAGTTGGGGACCGGTTATTAAACAGTACCCACGGGTTTCGTTTACTCAAAAACTACATTATAAAGCAGAGGTATACTTTCCGTTTTATGCTTTTTAAAATTTTTTTCGGCAGACCACAGCTACATAAATAGTCTAAGAAATTTATTTCCCTCATATGTATAGTTTGCACTAATTCCTAAGGGCGGCGAAACCCCGGAAAATCCCCGCTAATCAGGATTGTTGTCGAGTTGGAAACCGGATATTAGACGCCACCCTAGGTCTTTATTTAATCAAAAACTACATTATAGGTGTGCTTTCCGTTTTTTGATTTTTAGAATCTGGTTCGGCACACCACAGCTGCATAAATAATCTAGAAATTTATTTCCCCCAAGCCTACCGGCATCTATTAATATTGTCATTATATTCATTAAAACAATCCCTCAATTTATTTCCATTAATTAATTGGTTATTATCTTCCAATACTTTCCCAATACATTTCCGATTTGATAAAAGTTGTAAACGTTCATTAGAAGAATATGGATCACACAAAAATTGAATAGCATTAAGCATTTGGCGAAGATATTCTTTTTGTTCAGTTGATCCGCATTGGGATATATGTCCAGCAAAACAAGGCATTATTGTTTTGTAAGAACTTAAAGATATACCGAATATTTTGTATAGCTAATAAAGCATGTTTCCTCTAATAGAATGACTCCTTCACTTGAATGCCCCTCTATGAGAGTATCTATTTGGACGATGATAAGATACGACTTTGGGATTTTGAAAGTGTATCCAAAGAGAGGTGAGGACCTCATTACGTATGGACCTTATTACGAACGGACCTCATTATGAGATTCATTCTTGACACTATAATAAAGCATATCATAAATAGGAAGGTATCTGTTATACATTTTCACCCACACTCAAGACTAACCAAATTTTGAAAAATTTATCTCAAGGAGACTATTTCTCCTTGAGATAATGTGACAGATAAATAGGTAGCTGGGAGCGAACCAGCACCTTCAGTTAACTGGACTGTGTCCGATCTTATTTGTACCTCAACTCCTCCTGTATATCTTTGGGAATTAGCTAGGTATGCTTCTAAATCGGACCGAAACGAGATCTCGAACAAAAAAATCGCTGCCT